GGTGGTGCAGAAATGGGTCACCAGCACTTTGGCCAGAATCTTGTAGTCAGTGCACAGCTGGGAGACCAGCCACCAGTTCTCAGTGCAGCTAAGGTCTCCCTTCTTGGGCAGCAGCATGAGCACTGCTTAGTGGCAGCTGATTGGTACCACCTTGTCAGCGGAGTTCTCCTGGAAAACACAGAAGGCAGAGGTCAAGGAGAAGCCAGAAGGTACTGTAGAACTCAGCAGGTAATCTGTTGAAGCCTGGGGCTTTGCCAGAGGTGAAGACAGCTGCAACAGCTGCCAGCTTCTCCAGAAACAGTTCTCAATCAAGCTTGCTGGCCTCCAGGATCCAGAGACACAGGAACTCCCTCATGGAGTTCCTGCATGGCCTTGGGGCAGAACGGTTCAATCAGAAACAGGATACGACAGAAGGCAACAGCATGCTCACATACTTCACCCAGATCCATAATTACCCAGCCCTTGAGGGTCTTGAGATGATCTAAGATTTTGCTCTCTGCCTGCTGCTGCTCCAGGTTGAAGAAGAAGTGGGTTGGGGTGCTGGTTTCTGTCAGCTCTTGGAAGCAGACATGGATCTTCACTCCACAGGCCTCCATCTCTGCTAAGTCGCACAGGAATTTCCTGTGGAACTGGAGGCTCTCGTGCAGTGCCGCATCACTGCCAGTGGCCAGCAGGGTGGCCTTGAGCTCTGCCACATCTTCCTCCAGCTTTCAGATATGTTGGCATAGTCCATTTGTGTCCAGCTGGGTGTACTGCTGGCAAAAAAGTCAGATCTGTACCTTGCCCATGTCTCACCATAGCTTCCAGGAGGAGCAGCTCAGTCCAATCACTGCCAAAGTGGGCAAAGCAATCCCAGAAGTAGGAGTCTTGAAGCAGGCTGATATTGAAACACCAATAAGGCACCTGCATTCAGGCTCTCCTGGGCAGGCCCAGTTTTCAGCAGGCCTCCAAAGTGGAAGGAAGTTTCCAAGGGTACCCACCTGCTTACCCCAGTTTGGAAGCTCAGTGCCTACACTCCCCCAGCACACCAGGTGCACACCAGGTGTGTACCAGCCCTTGCAACACACCAGGTACCTGCCAGCAGGGGATGAGCCATGGAGGTCAGAGGGTCACCTCTACACAGGCCCGGTCCTAATGTTCTACCCCACCACCATACCCACCCAGATGCAAGCCACTAGCACGAGCTCCTTCTCAG